TTTTTTAGGGAAATTGATGCTATTAAATTTTGATGATTAAAGGAGATAAAGGGGAGGAGAGGAGATAAAGGGGTTGTGTGTATCTCCAGTAGGGTTGGATTTAATGATGATTTTACTCGCTATTAGCATTTACAATTTTTTATAAAACCCATTTGTACCCTGAAAATTAAGCTTTTTGCCATTTTATAATAATTAAAAATATAGAAAGTTTTTAAAAATAAAATATCATAACAGATGGCACCATTGAATGTTGCCAGGAAAGTTAATCAACTTGCTGCTGGATTTTTTTTACTGCAGTAAAAGAAAGTGAGAGATTATTATTATTTTTTTTTTGAGATTGGCTTTAAACAATTAAATTCTGTGTTAGAAGAAATTGGGGTAAATCTGTTGCTAAATTCATAGTATAGCTTACAAATACAGTAGATCCCCCTATAAAACCTTTTCCTATAGTTATGATTCCTATAAAAATTGTGGCAGTATCCGTAAACAACGGTAAAAACAACTCCTATAATACGTAAAACGTCATCGGGCAGCCAAACTACTTTCCCGCCGTCCGTAGCGCCACGCTACGGACATTTAGGCGGATAAATTGAGTTTAGTATCGTCTGTTCATATAATTATATATAAATTAGGTACTGTACATATAATTATATATTAATTATATATAAATTAGGTACTGTATATATAATTATATATTAACTTAATTTATTGTAACTTTATTATAATTAAATATATATTTTTCGCCGTCTAGCGTCACGCTACGGCGAGTTAGGCGACCTATCGTCTGTCCAGTACTGTAATTTTATACATTTCTTGTGAAAGAAACATTTCTTATTTAACGGCCATAAAAATTATTTATATTAAGGATGTCTCCAAAGGTCAACGAAGTTTTCGCAGAAAAATAATATCAGAAATCGCGGCCGCGGTTTGATGCGCTGTTCCGCGACGAAACCAAGCTTTAGCAACGGGCGTAGTCGAACGGTACACACTCGGTAAGCAATCCTACAATTTTTTGTTTATAACGTAGTTTATACGGATTATTTTCAAAAAAATATACGTATTTTGGAAATGTTGAGTCGAATTAGTCTAGAATCGATTAATTTTATGAAAGAAAACCTTTCAAACAGCCGTAGTCCGTAAACTATGATTCCTACAAAATTGATTCATAAAGAACGGAACGTATCTACTGTCTTATAGGGGGATCTACTGTAATAAACAAGCCTTTCCACTTTTCTGTTTTGTATGGAAGTTTTGTCACCAGCGTAGTACAGAAGAAAGCCTCTAGGGCAGTGTTACCTACAAACCTATTCAGCAAGCATCTGATAAGTGTGTAGGATAGGCTAATAATTATAAACACTAAAACAACACAGTATTATTTGAGAACAGTGGATGTTTAAAGTCCTGAAACAATAACTTGTTATTATGATGATTGATTTGATCTAATAATAAATATATTTTGGTCAAATTTATGTAAACTCCCAGTCTATTGTAGGTATTGAAAAGATACCAACTAATCTCAGAAAGAAGTTAAGGTTTGCTAAAATTATACATTATCCCTAAACTATTTTTTATGACATACTCCAAAAAATTAAAATAAAGAAATTATGTATTAACACTGATTTGTGTTTTATTTCTGTGTTTATATATGATACAGTAATAATATGCTTTAATGTTACTTTGATTACATACTTTTATAATTTTTCTTGATTGGGTAACATCTCTTCCCTTTAGCAGTGAAATTAAAACAGCTGGTAAGGATTCTTACCCTTTCCAGCTGTTTTAATTTTGCAGCCATGCTTATCTGTCAGGTTAAATACATAATTTTGAATATAAGGCCAGAGAAATTTTTCCAGTATTAGACTGGCCAGTGTACTGACGTGATTACCACAGCCTTGCAAATTGGATTTTTTTGTATGTGTGGTAAAAACAAATCACATAATGTTTTCAATATTTATGGGTAGTGTAGCAAGTGATCTGCAGCCTTGCATGCTGCATATTCAACTCTTCTTAATATAAAAACAAATTTTGGCTTTGGATATCTTAATCCACCTCAGTCTTTTCCATTGATGAGAACCAGTAAAGGAGAGATGGACTGCGGGACAGAGTTTGTAAGCATTTTTTTCAGTCCATCTTTTCTTAAATAATTCTCACAATATACCCAGCAACATACGTGGTCTGTAAATAAAGTAATGAGACTTTTTCTGTAAATATCTGTATTGATAATTAATCTACAAATCAACTCTGTCTCCTTCCAAATAGTCCCCTTGGGAAGTGACACAGCACTTGAGATGTTGCTTCCACTCTTCATAGCAGTGCTGGAACGCAGAAAGCGGAATGGCCTTCAACTAGTCTGTTACAGCCTGTTTTGTGTTTTCCGTCATACCAAAATGGTACCCTTTGAGGTGTTGTTTCAGTCTGGGGAAAAGAAAGTAATCGCACAGGCTCATGTCAGGCAAGTACGGGGGCTGAGAGACAACAGGAATATTTTTCTGTGTCAAAAACTTCATAATCAAAAGCACCACGCTGTGACAAGGTGCATTGTTGTGGTGCAGCATCCAGGTCTCTTTGATGTTTGGCATCACGCAAGCAACACATTTTTGCAGTCTTTCAAGAACCTCATGGTAAAAATGCTGATTGACAGTTTGTCCTTGAGGCATGAATTCTTTATGGATAATTCTATTGCTGTCAAAGAAGCACATGAGCATGAGTTTGATCTTTGACTTGCTCATTCTCACTTTTTTTTTGGCTGTGGGAAAAGTGCTGTGTGCCACTCCTCACTTTGGCATTTTGTTTCTGGATCATACTCAAAGATCCATGTTTCATTACCCATAATGATGTTTGTGAGGAATGTTGTTCCTAACTTCATTCACTCATTTTCAGGATGCACAACAAAATATCACTTTGCAAAATGTGCACTCACAGTTCACTAGTTAACGTGACAAGGTTTTCACTTGAACTGAAGCTATATGGCACGTTGTCCTTACATCACTGGCAAGAAGAACTCCACAGTGTTGTCAGATCATTCGCTATGAAACCAGTCTCATTATTTTATTTACAGACCTCATATGCAGTACTAGGTGAAGTAATGCTTGTTTGAGCACATTCTGAGGGTTTGCATTCTCTGTACTTCAATTCTTTTTCAATTTCCCAGTGGTTTCTAAATGAACTAGAAGAATTACTACTTTTAGTTCATTTAGGCTTGGTTTAGTAGAAAATGAACTAGGGATGGATGTTCTACTGTTACTACTAGTGGTATTATCTGTATAGGTGAGTGAACTGCTTGTTCTGCTTGCAGACATCCAGATACTACAAGTTAATTTGGTGTTCACTGCTAGGGAAGTCTTAACAATTCCAGCTGTTAATATTTTATGCATTGATTGATAACACTGGTGACATTTGTCTAATCATTGCTACTTGCAAGTTGTCTTACTGCCCTTCCTGCTTACAACACTGACCCATGCTTTTTCTTTTGTTAGATCACTGGTAAATTTATGAAAACTAACATTCAGTGACTTATTTTTTGAGTTTTCAGTACAATATGGAACACAACAGTACCATTTTAGTCACTAAAAATAAAAACTGTATAATTTTATAAAAATCTTCCTATTTCATCAAACTTACATGCAACTCTGTGATGATAAATTAATAATAGGAGGGTATGCAGTGCCTCTAGTGGAGAAAAATCATAAAAGTGGCAACAAGGAGTAAGGAGTAATGGGAAGACTTGTTTATTCTTTGTAGGTTATATTGAGAGTAAACATTGCATATATTACTATAATGTAGATCAGCAGTCCCCAACCTTTTTATCGCCGCGGACTGCTCAATGTTTGATAACTTTACCGCGGCCCACTGAGTTGATTGTTCATATTTTAGATTGATTTAATTTAATAATTTTAATTTAACTGTATTTAAACATGCCTTCAAAATAAAATACAGTTACACCAAAAAATGAATATAATGTGATTTAACATTTTAACTCACTAGAACGCTAAATCAATGACCCTGAGCTTGTTTCTTTGCAAAGAGACAGTTCCATCTGGGGGTAATAGAAGACAATGACATTCGAAGTGTGTTTCTTATGTCCAGTTTATTCAGTTGTTCTGTCGTCTATTAAAAGTCGCACAAACCCGAGACAAATACACCATAGTAAATAAAATGGAAATAATTTAATGTTCCTTGGGCGGCCCGGTACCATATGATCCACGGACCAGTACTGGTCCGCAGCACGGGGGTTGGGGACCACTGATGTAGAGTATAGGAATTATCTGTTTGAGTTTTTAAAATTTAGGTATGAAATGCCAGAATTTTTTTAGGATCTGTAGAAAATTTATTGACAATGTGATGAAAGTAATCTAGACATTCAAAATCATGTAAAATACAACAATGTGTGGTTGATGTGTTTCCAGTCAATTTTCATTTGTCATTCTTTTTGTAAACAATTATGCATTTTCCACAAATAATGAGGAAACCGTCTTTATATAGACATGTTAATGCTTTTGCCTTACAAAAATATTATTTTTATTATTTGTCTTATTCATACTTTTATTTTTTATAAAATTTTTTATATATGCTGTTAATCACACATTGTTAATATGTAATTTGTCATATGATTTGATCTTTCTGTTTTCTGTTGTAGTATAATTCTATTTATATTCCTGAAGGTATAATTGTAGTAAAAGTAATTGATGGTTCTCTTGTTTTGTGATGATCACAAAACAAGAGAACCATCAATTACTTTTAGTGAATTATTTTAATATGATATGTTTAAACAATTGTAATATTTAAATCTTTTAAATTTAATTTAATTACAGATATTATTTCTGAATACTATTTTAATAACAACAATTAATAATTAAAATTTACCAATTATTAATTATGCATTTTTATTTAATGCAATTGAAATTTTAAAGCCACTAAATTTTGAATGTTGAAAATATTTTAACTTGCTGTTTTAAATTAAAAGTCATAAATATTTTCATTAATAACTGTTTTAATTACAGATACAATTCAGAAATTACCTTACATATTTACAAGAAATCCATATGAGCTGAAAGGAGAAATGATTCAAACAACATTGGTGAAAAGTGCACGAGGATTTGGATTTACAATTGTTGGTGGAGATAATGGAGATGTTGAAGAATTTTTACAAATAAAAAATATTGTTCCTCATGGTCCTGCTTGGCAAAATGGAATATTACAAACAGGTATAAATATTTGCCATAATAACTATTAAAATTTTTGAATTTAAATTGATTTCAGAATTACTAACATAGTATATTTATCAAAACAGGCGATGTTTTAGTTTATGTCAACAGAACGTGTGTTTTAGGTTACACTCATCAAGACGTTGTTACACTTTTCCAAGCAATGTCTCCAGGTGATAGTGTTCAACTTGAAGTATGTCGGGGCTATCCTCTTCCTTTTGATCTAAGTGACCCCAATGCAGAAGTTGTATCTACTATGGCTGTGTCTGTTAATCAGTCACCTGAAAACAGGCCATTATATAATGATACTGCTGACCCTGAAGCTGTAAAAGAAGAATACTTCAAGTTAGATGATGGATCAGATTCTGCACGTTCTGCTAAATCAATGCCTGACTTAAGAAATTCAAATCCATCCAAAATACAAAGACACAGTAGTGCAGATATTCTAGATAATCCTACAGCAGAAATGTCTACTTTCAATCAGCAACAAAATGATTTTTCAGAATATATTACTGTAGAAATTATTAAAGGAAATAATGGCTTTGGTTTTACTATTGCTGATAGTGGTTGTGGACAAAAGGTATGGATTTTATTTTGTTTATAGTAAACTGAATGATTTTTGGTACATTTTATTTAAATTATAATTACAGGTAAAAAAGATTTTAGACAAAAATAGATGCAAATCTCTCCAAGAAGGAGATGTATTACTTGAGATTAATGGAAAATCTGTAACTAATGCGTCTCATACGGATGTTGTATTAACATTGAAAGAATGTCCATGCGGAGAAGCAGCTAAAATAACCGTGCAGCGCATGCTAAAAGGAAATAAGGTAAGATAATGATGACATACGGTAAAATATTCTTAATTTAATAATAAAAAATTGAAAACTTTAATACTAAGTTAAATCCTTAAAGCTGTGTAAAATATTGTATTATAATAAACTTCTTAGCCTAACTTCTTGGCTATTTATCATGAATATTTAAAATAGATCTGAGTTATTTATTTTACTAATGAATATGATTATTTTTCTGTGTCTAAATGAATTTAGGAGTAATACACAATTTATATAATATCATGTATTACTCCTAAATTCATTTACATATTTCATTTAATTTTTTCCTGATCAAAAAATATTAAAATTCTGCTAGTGAAGCACTGTATTTACAGAAGGAACAATAAAAGATGAAAGATGATGATGTGAAAAAGTATAAAGGATAGTTATTAAGATAATGAATAGAATATGAATCAATAAGAAATAATCATTTAAGAAATTGTCAAAGCCATGTCTTTAAATACACTTTTTAAAAGTCTATTAACATTTGTCATTAATTTTCTGCCGAAATAAAGTCTGTTTTTTTAACATTATTTACATTCCCCTACTTAATCTTTCAGTACATTATTCTTTTTAGAAAAGATTGTTGTAATATTTATAATTATAAAACATTTTAATCTTGCAACAGATGCAAACATTTATTTTTTTCAAATGATATCTCACTTGGCTAAGGAAAAGAGTATGTGTATGCTGTATTATTTTTGAAATGTTCTTTAGAAATAATAATCTGTATTTACATCAAAAATCAAAATGTACCTTTATTATTTTAAATCTTTTTAAAATTTGAGAGCTTTAAGAGAAAATTTGTTTTTATTGCTAAAATGTGACAAAATATTTGCTAACAATTTGCAATATGATAAAATTGTATTGATTTAATTTTGCCAGCATTGAAATATTGATCATAGTTATTTTTCTCTGGGAATCTTTATATATAACAACATTAAGGTCATGTAATAAGCCAACACTTAAATTTCCTGAACTGTGTATGTCACTTTTCAAAACTTTAAAGTCATAGATTGTTTAGCATCTTTATGTTTTCTGCAATGTTAAAAAACTCTGTGTAACTTTTATATGGTTACTATAATGACTGTATGTCATATTTTCATTATATTATTTTATGTATTTAAACATCATTTACTTATTCATGTCATATTGCTTTCACTTGCATTTGATCTAAAAAACTTTGTAAATTTCTTTAAAAATCATTAAAAAAGTCGAAGTTTCAGTTAAGAACTCTTATTTAAAACTTGTTGATGTATCCACTTGAATTTTGTTCTTATTATAAATATATTATATTCTGTCTGAAGATGACATTTATGAAATATTTAAAGTACTTGCATGCCTATTCTTGTTTGAAGTAAACTAAATTAACACTGAAAAACATTGTTAAATTTATTGAAAGTATGATAATTTAACAATTTTAGTTTTTTAATTTAATATTATAATTGATATGATTTATGTTAACTATCAAATGATTTTTATGAATTATTTTCACAAGTAAACTTTTTTTTAGTATTTTAGGTCATATGAGTGTAATAATTATGAAATGGATGGAAATAGCAATTTAGTTTCACAGTCATTATTATGTTCAGAAAAAATTAAACCAAAAGGTAATTTTATAATAGTACATTTAATTAAATATTGAATACATTTACTTAATTCTTGTCTTTTTTTGTTTTTTATTAGATATAACAATTCCCTCTGTTCCTGGTTCTTACAGAAGTAAAACCCCCACTGCTGATCTGTATAGCTCAAAAAATAAGGAGACTGTACCTGTTAATAGACCAAAAACTCCTCTTATGGATACAAGGAATTGGTCTCCAGAAGAAAATTCTTATCAAGGTTATAATTCTTCTGTGGATCAAGAGCTTTTATCAATGTGGAAAACAGGTTTTAGAATTAAATCACCAAATTCTCAACCTAATTGGTCAGTTATTCAAGATCAGCCTCCTTATTGGTTTAATAAGAATTTTCAAGAATCCAACAAGAATCAAGATTGTTTGCAATGTGATGGTCCTTTGCAAAATTTTAAGAATATTCCTGAAATAGATGAACTTAAATCCATTCAAATTAATAATAGAGGTTTATATAATACAAATAATTGGGATCATGCTAATCTTGGAAATATAAATGCTGGTGTTCAGTCATATCCAAAATTTATTTCAAATAGGTATTTAAGTGATAATAGTTATCTTACATATTCTTCAGATTATAGTAACTGTCAAACTCCTCCAGATAATATCAGTCAGCATATGTTTACAAAAGAAAATATTCCTGGTCATATTCATTATCAATACTCACCAAATCAAAGTTTAACACCAACAAAAACTAATAATTCTTTGGATCAAGAACAGCAACCTCTCTTATCTAAAGTTTTAAGTGAAGACTCGGAGTATAATATGTATAGAACACAAACTATACCAGATAGTCCAGAATTAAATGAAATGATAGTCACTTTACATCGACAAGAAAGTGGCTTTGGTTTTCGAATTGTAGGAGGTACAGAAGAAGGCTCTCAGGTACAATACTTTTATTCAATAAATTATATGCTTTAAAACTTTTGTAAAATGTTTATATCAAATAAACAAGATAATTGAAAATAGAAATAAATAAAAATTTGAAACTAACATATCTTTAGCAATACATACTGTAAAATTCCAGAAAATGAAAAAAGAAAAAAAACAAGAATATTATATAGAACATTAATTTTCTATGCTTTATTTTAATTAATAAATATAAATACTGTTCACCCCATAAATTTTTATCTGCCAGATAGAATAAAGCAGCATACAGGTGGACCAAAAAATATTATAATTGTCTGTTATTTGTAAATACAAGTCTTCTTTCTCTCTAAACAAACACACACATCTAGATACTTACGCACGTGTGTGTTCTATAAACTAATTTTATAAATATATAAAATCAGTTTCTAGAATGTGATGTCTTCTGACAGACAGTTCTTCCTCTTTTCTATTCATATATATTTCTTTCTTGATGTCTGTCCTCTGTTATTTTTTATACACCTTCTTTTTAGGTCTTTCTCAGTCTTCTCATTCTTGTAGTTTTTATTATATGGCTATTCTTGGCAATTTGCATCCTCACATAACCACGCCATATCAACTTTCTTTTTATTTGCCATATCAGCATTCTTTTTATTTCATCAATGATTAATTCTTTTATGTTCATCAAATCTGTAATTTTTTCATTTTTGTTCTTATTTTATACACAAATAATAATCTGTATAATCTTGTCAGGGCATCCATTTCAACTGCACTTATCTGACTTTCTTGTATCTATTGTTGACATTCCCTATGCTTTGTCTCCATATAATATACTTTTCACTCTAGCGTTAAGGAGTAAATGTATTCATTGATTATATATCATCATATACATTTTTATGCATGGTGATTTATGATTCCAAACCATTTTGCATCTTTTTTTAAATTTAAATATCAGTCAGTATCTAAAAGCTTTCTAATATTGTAGTCTGTTCACATTTCCTTGTAAGCAATCAGCATTTGTTTTGTATGTCTGCCATATTGATTTAGAAATGTCAGAATCATCCTTATTTTCTTTTGGCTGTTGACTTTCCATTTCTGCAGACTAGTCAAAATAGTCTTTAATTTGATTTTCAGGTATTTTTTTTATGCTACAGAGGTGGGAAATATTTGATTTTTGTTTCTGCATTATTTTTTACAAGTGGAAATAGACATTACAATTTATAAGAATCATTATTTTGATACATCAATTTGCCAGAATTTACTTACTTCCTTAATTATAGGGTATTAGTATTTTTATTACTTTCAACTCTATAATCCTTTTATATCATGTTTATTATTTCATACAGCAAACAAATATCCAATGGTTTAACTAGGTACAATTTATTATTCAATTTTGTCACTGAAGAGGTTGAGAATTTGTCATCCTGAAATGCATATGTAGAAGAGAAAATTGAATAATAAATTGTACATGGTTAAACCATTGGATATTCGTTTGCTGTATGAAATACTATACCTGATATAAAAGGATTTTAGAGTTAAAAGTAATACTATTTTATGTAGTTGATAGGAAATGCTATGGAGTTTTTCTTTTTGAAAAAATGTCTTAGATTAAAATTTTATTTTTGATTTTTTTTTAACTTTATCAGAAGTAATATTTAAGTGCCTTTTTAAATTCTTTTAATTTTATTTATGTAATAATACAGTTTTATTATATAAAATTTAGATAAAATAATAATTTATTTACAAATATTAGCTATATATATATATACACGCATGCCTATTTTTACAAAAAATGTTTTAAAACAACTTTTATTATTTTTAGGTTTCAATTGGTCATATTGTTCCTGGAGGATCTGCAGATTTAGATGGAAGATTAAGACCAGGGGATGAAATTATATCAGTAGATGGACAAAGTGTTATTAATACAACTCATCATCATGTTGTTCAGCTCATGGGTAATGCTTCTATAAATGGAATAGTAACACTTGGGATTAAGAGAGATATTCCTCCTAGGAATATAGAGTCTCTTCAAGGTAAAATTGCATAATGTTTAAAATTTTAATTTTTTAATAATAAAAGCTTATAACATATTTGTCATAATTTTTTTTCTTTTAGATTCTTATGCCAATCATTTTACAGACCTTGTATATCCATATAATATCACTGTTACAAGAAAGCAAAATGAAGGTTTTGGATTTGTAATCATATCATCAGTTAATCGAATTGGATCAACAATAGGTATTTTAAAAATTTATATTGAAATATTATTTACAAATTGAAAATATTAAAAGTAAAATTTAGGAAATTGTTTTACTATTCTTTTCTCTTTTGTTCTTAAAAGAGAACAAATAGATTTAGTAAAATTTTTTTATTGATAAATGTGAGAAGCATTTTATGAACTTCTTAACTGTAAGCAAACATTATCTCCATAATATATGATAATCTCAATTGAAAGTGATTTTATTATAAAAATATCAACAAAAAAAATAATAGAAAATAGAAAAATATTTATCAATTTTTATGCGTATAAGAGCATGTTTGTATATCTGAGTAAAAAAGTATGCATTTGTAGATAGTAAAATTGACATTATACTCTATCAAGTAGCAAAAAATTTAACTTACTATTTTTAAAAAGCTTTTTTAAAAATAGTAAGTTAGTATCAAAAGCATTTTTTTATATTTTGGCTTTTTATATTTTAACAATGGTTACTACAGAATTGTCACTGGATACACACAGTATCATTATATTTACATCTAACTTACGTTGACACAATAGTACAGAGCTCTAAGGTAAATCAAACTACCACACAAGAGCATGTTCTTATTTGTGTGAAAATATGATATGGATTTATTGTAATACATAAAATTATCACACCTATTCATTACTTTAAATGTTTTACAAATTTTAATATATTTCATGTATATTAATAAACATTTGGATATGAGGGCTTTGTAGCTAATTCCAAAGTTTAAAGATTACTGATCCTAGAGAAATCCTGTTTTTGATTATTTAAGCAAAATTAACAAATTAAATATAATTTATAACATATGATTTATATTATAAAATGTAACTTTTTCTTTACAGGACGTATTCTAGAAAACAGTCCTGCAGAAAGATGTGGTCAGCTTCGTGTGGGAGATCGAATATTAGCTGTCAATGGCATTAGTATTATACATATGCATCATGGTGATATTGTGAATTTGATTAAAGATTCAGGATTTTCAGTAACTCTCACTATTGGTGCACCACAAGGTATTAAGTTTATTACATTTAAGGTTTATCTTTGAAAATAATAGGAAAATACTGATTATAGTTTACTAAATAGATTTTAACAATAGATCAATAATTAACTAATTTCTAATTTTCTTTTATTATTTAATGATTTATTATATTTCTAGTTTTAATCATTATGTTGTTTTTTAGTAATATGACAAAAATGTGTGTGTGTGTTGTGTGTACTTAAATTTTATTAAATAATTTTTAATTAAATATAAAGAAAAATTATAATCAGTTTCATCAAAAACAAATATAGAGAGACAAACTGTATCATATATTTACTTAATCTTGTAGTCTTAACTATCAAATGTATTAGTTATTATAAGATTTTCTTTAAAACAATTACGATTCTACAAAAAATATTAGAAAAATTTTAGTCTTTTTTTATGGAGAATTATTATTATTGATTTATTAGTTTAGTTTATCAGTTTTCATAAGAGAGAGATTACAGACTTTTCTATCAAATTAAGTTCTGGTTATGCATGTGTATAATAACGTACAATGAAAATTGCATTGAACAAGAAATTATTTTACTTAAATTTCACTTGTGTTCCATGTTATTTAATTTTTATAAACAAATGTTTACTTATCTTAATACTTAAATTATTATTTTTTAAATATTTTTTGAATATATTATTTTCAGATGATGAAGAATCAAGTACTACTTCCAATTCTCAAAAGGTATAAATATATTTGAATAATAATTTGAATGTTGTTATAATGAAAATGATTTGAAATTATATAATTACATATAATGTTTATATTTGACATTTTATTTTATTAGCTATAATATTAAAATATACTAAAATAGCTAATACTTATTTTGTTTTTAAAAATTTAATAAGCCATAAATTCATAATACTACAAATTGTCTTCAGCATCTAAAGCTGTCATTTTCAGATTAAGCAGCATATATATAATGTCTATATAATTTTACATAACACTAATGAAAAATATATTAATACTAACTGCAAGGACCTGCTTTGCTGGGTTTTTATTTGTATGTAATATAGTTTTTTATATATATAAAAGACTGTTTTTCTAAGTAATCTAGAATCTAGCTGCAAGGACCCGCTTCGCTGGGCAAAAAGTAACGATAGTGAAGATTAAGATAATTACATTATAGCTAATCTTACCCGTTTTCACAGAATGCAAGAATTAGGTCCCCCGTTTCCAGACTAATTAGAGAATTTTTACGTTTAGTCAAACGAACTATTTTCAACGTTTCTGGAACATTTACAATCATTCTATAATCGAACCAATATTCGAATTTTATGTTCGAATTAAATTCAAACAAATTTGAACAAAACATTCGAAATAGAAAGCCACTTTCAACCACTTTCAGCCTCATATCTCCCGCACCCTTATAGCTATCAAGACACAACCACCCCTATGCACGAATGGAGACTTGAGACTACTACCACATACAAACACCATTCACGTGCGATGTGTAGTTTTTGCGAAAAAGTGAAATATAGGGATACACACGTCCATATATATATATATATATAAAATATTAAACATGTAGCAATAATTATTTTCATTATTGAAAATTTAAGACTATACAAATAATGAGTTCTTTTTCCTATTTACATCCTTTTTAATTCCAATCCTGAGCTAATATGTACAATGTAGCAATAATATTTATGTTGATAGTTAATAAATAATCAAATGTTTCTAAGCATTTCCAAAGTTCTCAATACTTCTACAGTTTGAACATTTTGAAAAATTTATAGTTAAATTAATTCTGTTTTTAAACATTATTATCTATCATCATCACCAGATAATCAAATATAATAAACAATAAAGATGTATTATTTAACATTAATTAATCTCTTATCTGTTTCATGCTCTTTCTATGTAATTTAAAAGTTTATTAATTTGACATATAAACAAGAAATTTTACTAAATACTGATAAAACAATCATTTAAAATCCATTAGTGCATGTATATATTTATATAAGGGACTCAGTTACCATAGATAAAAAATTAAAGTTAAGTAAAACTTATTGATATTTTTTGTAATATGTTTTGTTAGTTGATCATTTTACATAAATAATTGAAAAATTTTTTCTGAGCTGTATTAAATTTTATAATATATATTAATTTACAAATTAGATTTGTATATTTTTGAGTACTTTAAAGATCTATATCTATTTTGTATTCAATGTATGCAAATTCTTGATAAACAAGTCCATTTCTATAACTGTTGGACCATCAAGTATCAATGATTAGTCTTAAGTGTCAAAGCAAAGTAAAAATGCCAATAATCTAAAATGAAATATAAATGTCATCTGCCAAAAAATTCTCAAATATTTATTTTACTTAAATATGTAATTTAAAACTAAATCATCAAATTCAATAACTTTCTTTGAGATTCTTTTATTTGTTTTAATGAATTAGTTTATATAAATGTTAAAGAGAATGAGGTAAGATTAATCTATTTTCCTATATTAAACTGAAAGTATCATGTTTGTAATATGATATATAACATATAGTAAAAGATGAAATGATCAACAGCTATAATTTCAATTTAAAATATTACTAATGAAATTTATTTAGTGTTTTTTTTTTTTTTGAAAAATACTCTACTTACATTAGCACAGGAATTTTTGTATAAATTTTGCTTGTCTAGTCAATTAGATCATTTTATTTAATGCAGAATAAGATGGAAAATTATATATACAGTGAAAACTGCTTAGGCGACCACCTGCATTCGAAGGGCACCTGTCAAAACGGGCAAAAATTTCTGGCACAGAATAGTTTAGCTATAGAGTCTTCGTATAAGTTACCTGTATTAAACGACCACCTGTGTAACGCGACCGCGGGCATCGATTTTTGGTCCGAAACAACATACAACACCTGTAATAAGCGACCACTTTCGCGAATGTATCTGGTCTAAACTATTGTTCGAACCCATCTCAACAACGTTTCCACCTCCTAATATAATGAATTAGTCTAAACTCTCGTTCGAACCCATCCCGGGCACTTTTCCCACCCTCGCAATTAGGTGCAGGCGTTAATAAATTAGTCTAGCAACAAAGAAAATTCATTTCAGTTTGTTGGAAAATATCCGAAATGCATAGTGCTGTCGTTAGAAGATCGTATTAAAGTTTTCACAACAGCAATTAGCGACGGAGTTTAACTGTGGGAAAACGAAATTTATTTTACCCTAAACCTACAGTACTTTCCTTGGGGGTGTAAAATATTGTACACGATACAATTAATCGGCTGATCTCATCGTTTGATAAAATCTATTTTTATTTATTTATTTTGAAGCTTATACAGTACACGATAAATAGTTTCTGTATCAATCTACCTTATTTTCACGATATTTTTAGAAAAATAATATCCAAGTAACTTTCGCAGGCAAAATATTCAAAAAACAATAAANTGACAGATACTTGTCATAAATAGGGATCTGTTTAAGACAAGTATCTGTTTTTCAAATTCATTCTGTTATTTCTAGCTTTAACCTATGATAAATATTCTTAAAATAAATTTTTTTGGGGTTTTACATAAACTAAAATTATTTTTTCATTGAGGTTACACTTTGTAAAATGTTAGTGTTAATTTTTAAAAAGTTTAAATAATAGACATCCTACAAAATAATATCTTATTTAACTTTTGTTTCAGTATGTTTTGAATTTAAATATATTTGTATTAACACTCAACTTTTTGTTAACATAAATTAAAATAAAAGAATATGAGATTTTTAAATAAGATTGAAAAAACAGTTTAACATTATATAAATTATGAAGAAATAAATTAAACACAAAAGAATCCCAGTATTTTTATTTTTATCTTTATCTTTTTTACTTTAATTGGTATAAATAGTAGAAATATAAATTGAAATCAAATACTGGAGATTTGTACACTTAGGACAGGTGTTTGTTTAAGACAAGTATCTGTTAAAAAAATTGATGTATATTTTACAATATCTGACAAAGTTTTAAATAATTGGTAAACAATTTTGCTTTGTAAAAGAATATGCAATAAAGAGAAATTTTATAAATAGCCAAAGAAATTCTAAAATAATTGGGCTATTTTTATGTGATAATTAATTAACATAACATTAGAAGCATAAAACACCATACTTTCTGAAATTAATGATAATTAATTTACAGAAATCTAGAAGAAAAGGAGGAGACTCAAAATTGCAACTATTATAAGCTAGGCAACAGACATTACTGATAACGCTATCTAGGTTTTCCAAACAGGGTGTTTGCCAATTTTTCAAACATATGATTCATTTTGCTTCTGTTTTTTTTTTTTTTTTTTTAAAATTATTTTATTTTATTTTAATATTGGTGCTTGATCCAGTACAGCTACTGGATCAAGATCAAGGCATAACTACTTTGTGGTTATATGCTGTTTGTGTATATATCTATATTTAAGAATTTTGTATGTGTTTAGTATGGTTATTTTCTAAAATTTGATGTTTGTGCTGTTGTTAAAGGTTAATGTTTCTAGATTTTTAGTATTTTAGTAGTATATGTTAATACTGAGAGATACAGTGCTGAATACTAAAACACTTCAAAAATACCTTCAAATTGCATTAATCACTTTAATCTTTAATGTTTTTGGTCATATTTAACTGATGTCCAGGATAAACTTAGAAAATGAATGATGGTTGCGTTCAAATAGAACAAAAAAATTAAAAACCTTCCAGAATATACAATTTAAATGTTAGTACTGGACCTGATAAGTTATGTAAATGCTGTATATATGTATATTTAGTATTTACTATTTACATACATTTTATGTTTTATGCATGCATAAAATGTATATTGTAGTATACATGGTATGACAATTGTACAAGAAAGGATTATAAGCTCAATAAGTATCCCATCCATTCTTCAGAGATACTTTATTTCTTGGTCACGTTACATATATTTACTAATTTGTTTTTTTGTTGTATATATTTTATGTTGAGGGTGTTTGGAATGGCTGTGTGTGTGATAAATGTGACTGTGTGTTGTTTATGATGTCTGGTTTATTATAATGGATTTTCTTCTTGTCTAAGATTGTGGTTTGATCATTATTATTAATAAGTAAATTATAAAAGTTGTATTTGATATATTGTATAATATAATATTGTGTAATATTTTAAATGGTGTAAATGACACTTGAAAAAGGCTAATGGCTACAATGTCGTAAATGAATAAAATTACATTAGAATATTCATCAAATAATATATTATGAATTTATTTTATTTGAATAATTTGTTTTTAATTAAATAAAGGGTGAAGAATCCCAAAATGAACAATGTTACCATTCAGTAGAATTATTAAGAGGAACGAGAGGTTTTGGATTTAGTATCAGAGGAGGACAAGAATTTCAAAATATGCCTCTATATGTTTTGAGAATAGCAGAGAATGGACCAGCTCATCAGAGTGGAAAATTACAGGTAAGTATCAATTTGTTTATCATACATAATATGAATTATTTATAGTAATACATTTATCCCCTGTCAAAAATAAATATTTGAGTTTTTACTATTCAAGTATTTTTACTTTAAATATGATCTAGAATCAAAATAATTTGCTATAAAATCAATATCTATAGCTTGCATATAAAGTTAAAATGAAAATATTTAAAAGAATAATTGATAAAAAGTTGAATGAAATGTTTTGATAAAAGTGAATTTGTAGAATGGCTGTAACAATTGTAACAAGTAATGATAGAAAATTTATGAAATTAATTCTGTTAAATAAACTTTACAAAAGTAGATGATGAGTGGTCTAATGATTGTTGATTATTAACTATATTCTTTAAAAACCACTTCTTAAGTGACTTTAATTGTGATTTAAAATTTTTTTTCATGTAACTTATTAAAAAATTTTATACTGATAGCTTTGGTTAAATATATAATTTATGTTATATGTAAACAATGAAAGAATTCCTATAATTCAGTTTGTTGTAAGATAATATATTGTGGAACTGAGATTCTATTATTTGAATATTATAACAGCTTTATAAATACTTTTTAAAAAATGTTACTTTAATATATGTATGATTTAAGTATGTAGTAAATGAAATAGTTTTTACAATAAATAAAAAGTTTTTGTTTTCCTTATTCAGCTGTAATATGATTTTTTTGTTAAAATAGTGTCTACTGTCTTATAACATTATGATTTTCATATGATAATTTTAATATATATATTTAGTAAAAATAAATTGTTAATAGTTAAGAAAAAATTGACTTGCGTTTTGGTAATATACATAAACTAATTAAAATTATAAATTTATTTTGAATTAGATTGGAGATCAAATTATGGAAATTAATGGAATCAACACAAGTGAAATGACACATGCAGAAGCTATTGAGATTATTCGTCAAGGTGGCAATTCAGTTTCTTTGCTGGTTAAAAGACATGACAAATTACCTGCTGCCATTGGTATGATTATCTCTTTACATTAAATTTTGATTATTATTTAAAAAATTATGTTAACTTTATATTAAATGAAAAAATATTTTATAATTACAGTTGAATTTATAAAAATAAACAAATTTATTTGAATTTCATGTACTGTAAATATAAATTTTACATTCATTCATATTTAAATAATTTTTAAAAACATTTAGCTCTTTTATAATAATTAAAATGAAAATATTACTTATATTATTATCTAAATAATAAT